AACGTCTCGACGCAACAAATCATCCACTGAGAAACAACTTAAACAACTTTTTTTATTAAACAAGACCTTGGAGGCAAAAACCCATTTATGGTGACCTTTAACAAAGGCAATGAGTGAGAGAAACGCACTGAGAGACAGATAACCACACACAGCAAGCTCAAGACTGTCTCGTACCCTCCAATCGACGTGCAACACCCATGGATTGGTCCCTATGAATAAGAGTTCAGGGTCTACAGTGGGAGTGGGCCTGTCAACGGGCCCTGTGTTTTGATCGAGAGGCTGAAAAAGAAGATGGCTCCACGAGGTGCGAACCTCTCGACTCTCGCAAATGCTCCCCGCTCACATCTAGGAGTCAAGGCTGGAAGGGATAACAAATCGCCTCTTCAGTTCCACACTTCTGAACCACTACTTCTTCATTTCTCTGCGGCAAAACCAAAGCACCGTTCCCCCTTTAATGTCGACCCCCACAATCTTTCCAAGGAGGAGAATTACAGATGAAGCTGGCTGTATTTTAAGACGGCATTTAAAAAAACCATTCGGACCTACTGCAGGCAAAGAGGTTCACAGCGGCAGATTATAGAACTTAAAGTACTTGAACGCAGTGCTCATCTCTGGAGTGCTCTTTGATTCTCATAATGGAATCAATTATGTTTCAAATGGCAGCCACAGCCAAAAGACTTCTACACTTTACCCTGACTTTCTCTTGCAAGGGTCAGATGTGTCTACATTTACAGTAGACGATTGTTCAACCAAAACACCACCTTGGAATCCATCTGCATTCTGAATGGTTTTTAGATACTGAGCTTCAAGGTTTTTGAAAAAACTGGGATTTTCGGAACAGGTCAAATGCAGAGAGAACCTTCTAATTCAAAAAAAAAAAAAAAATTCCGCTTGGAATCACAAGGATCTATCTTGCAAAACATTAATTGAAGCAATAATTCTCAAGAAACACAAACAGTTTACTTATAATTTGTTTTAAAACATAAAATTAGTGTTGTAACAATGTGTCGACATGTATGAGAAAGATAAATTTAACGCTTTCTATGACATTTATTTAATATTTTAGGACGAATATTTATTTTTCTTGTTCAAGTTAAGCATAAAAGCAGTACTAAATATTTTGTCCAGTGCAGATGTTAATTTTAGGTAGGAATATGGTGGGTAATTAAACACCACTGTGATGAGTTAGGCGGGGCCGAGAGCCGTGGGAATGGAGCGAGGCCGCTGGAGTAAATGATAATGAGCGCCACCTGCGCCACTCACCGGTCTCCAGTTCCATGGAGAAGCTCCGGAAGGATAAAAGGAGGAGTGACGACAGTGCAAGACAAGAGAGGACCAGGCCTGGATTTTATGTTGTTGTTTTATGCGGCAGTTGTCTGTGAGGGGCTGCCGCTTTTACTTTACTTTACTTTCGTTTCGTTTCGTGTTTGTTTATTTATTTCTTAAAGTTTTATGTTTAAATGTTTGCCGGTTCCCGCCACCTCCTTCCCGATCTACGAATGTCGTTACAACCACATTGCAGGAACAGTTTAAGCAGCTACTGTAATACATCTGACCAGAACTTTATTCCATTGGAAGTGGGACAGGTAAAATGGCTTTCTCTCTAGAGATCAAGATAACCTGCTAACGTTTATTGTTGTAATTAAGACCCCATCAATTAAATTGTTGACTATTTGACATTTAAGGCTTAATATTGTAAAATTTAAGACATTTTAAGACTTTAATCTGCAAGAAAACAGACAATGCTTCAGCAAAGTTGTTTCATAAATTTGAACTCTTAAATGCATGAATGTTTCGCCAATCATTACATATTCAGGTCTTTAGCGACCCGGACCTATATATCTAACACGGATGGATCTCTAACTGCTGCAATAGCGTAAAAATCTCCTGATATTTTAATAATAATTTCAAATAAATAAAATAAAGCCTATTTTGTTACCTTTTTAAACTTGGAAGGGTTTAATTTGAGCAGATGCTTTTACCATTACTGTCATCGTCAGAGCACACTTCCCTAGCACATTCAGCATCTGGATATTCGCGATATAACCATATTAACCATATTCTCAAAACACAGTTTTCAACGTCTTCAAAAACAACAATTTGATCGCTATTCACCACATCCATCATCAAATGACAGTGACACTTATATTTCATTGCGTACAGTAATTGCTCTGCAGTAAAGCCATTCAAGCCAGTTCAATTTTTGCAGATATTATTTGTTTTATGCCTGCGGTAAGGGGTGGGCGGATCAATCCTAATATCGATAGTATCGATACCAACATTGGTATTGGTATTAGATCGATACCAGCCAGATGTGATTGATACTTTAGGTTAAGTTTCTCTCCTCTATGCTTAGTACATTGCTCCCGCTTCAGGAAAGAGTAGACATGTTTGTGTGTTTATATATGCCGCTCTTTTCACAAATCCTATGCACACGTTGCTCCTCCTCTCCCTGCTCTGCTGTGTTTTGTTTACATGCCATCACATGACTCAGTGGCGCCAAACACTAGCAGACACTTTTGGCTGCAGTAATGAGAGATGGAATGGCAGATTGAATCGCTACTGTGGCGACAACACTTATACAACTATTACAAATACATAAAAAACACGAAAAAGAGAACTCTGAGCTACAAAAGAAATGGAGAGGAGAGGAGGGAAATATATATATGTTAACTGAAATAAAATTAAATAAACAAAAAAATCGTATTTTATTTCAGCTAGTTGCCAAGTACTACAATAACTAAAACTATAACTGAAATAAAATAAAATAAAAAAATATAGAAAATTAGAAATAATAAAAAATCATATTTTTAAAGCTCTTTTCTCTGTCGCCACTCGCCTTCCTTCCATTGCTTTTGTTCTGAACTGCACAGCTCTCATTCTGTAGCAGCAGGTTACCGATCTGCAGCTTTTCTTTAACGCCTTGGACTTATAATAGCCCTATTTACAAGAGATACACAGTACACACAAAGGGGGTCTGCTGCCAGAACATAATTCTTTATCAATCGATTGTATGTGCGAGACATTAGGCACTTTTACATGTATTTGAAACAAAGGGCTCCTGTGAGCAGACTGGGAGCTCTTTTATCTCATTTTATCTTCAAATTTTGAACAAATGAAAGAAATATCTGTGAACAAACTTTATTAACCAACTTTTATCAAACACACTGAAATTTCCAAGTACTATCATATTATCATGTTTTTTTTGCATATTTATTATGGTTTACTATGATGCATGTTATCGTAGCATCACCATGTCTTTTGTACATTTACCATGGTAATGCAATGTTTTTCCACATGGTATCATAGTAACATCATGGTTTTTTTTGCATTTACCATAGTAATACTATGTATTTTGTACATTTAAAATTGTAATGTCATGTGTGTGGATATGGTATTGTAGTAATACCATGTTTTTGTGCATTTACTATGATAATACCAGGTTTTTGCATACGATTTTACAGTAATGCCATGCTTTTGTACATTTACCATGGTAATACTGTATTTTTGTACATTTTCTATGAAAATACCATGTTTTTGGAAATGGAATCATGGTAATGCCATGTACAGAGACAACACTAGCACAATGAACAGTAGTCTCTAATAGATATGTTAGATAGTATGTTAATAATAACAAAATCCTATATGAAAAAATAAACTTTCAAAAAGTAAACATCAATCATACAGTATTCTATTGAGCTATAAAATGAATAGTGTTGGAATAATTTGAGTATATATTAATATCTTTGAGGAGTTCAATCCTTAAATCACAACCAAGATGGTTAGAAGATGTACCATCATAACCATTATTAGCATAGCACCACCATTCATCTTAGCATCTCCAGGGCTAAGATACATGTACATATATAGTATAGAGTATTTGGCAGTGTCTACATTTCTCATTCTATCATCATGCTCTCTGCTTTAACCTTTTCATTTTAATCCTGAACAATAATGTACTTGCCAATTTCCAAAAGTAATATAAAAAAAAAAATCAACACAGGGTCTAAGTGAACAGCACGGCTAAACTGTGGCTTTTAGGAACACGAACAGGAGCAGCCGCTGACGTGTGTGGAAGGTTTTTAGGATTTAAAACAGTGGCTGACTTTCACTATTACTGCTATCACACTCTTTTACGTCTTCAAACAACATCCGTTCGGCTTTTATCTGTAATTAACAAAGCCAAGAAGTAGATAAGCCTGGTTAGAATATATTTTGGATGTGCAGTAAATATTTTTCTTTCTTTCTGTCTGTCAAGAAATGCTACAGAGAGAACTTCATTTCACAATGTTCTTGTTACAAATTTTTCATGCACTTACTATAGTAATAGCAGTAAATTATGCATAATACCAAGAAAGTAACCCAAAAATAAGTACGTTGTTAATTAATTTTACTCAGTATTTATTTGTATAATTGCACTGTAACTAGGACACCTTAAAATAAAGTGTAACAAATATATATATTAAATTATTTTATTAGCAAACCAGCTTTGGCGGGTTTAAGATGTTATTTTTTCCAGCAGGAGTCCATTTTAATTAGAATAAAAATGTGTTGCTATTGTCCAGTATTTAATATATAGTGAATATTTCTCTTGAATTTGAGTGCCATCATGGATAGATTTGTTTATTTTTATTTATTTTTTTGCATTCTGGGATTGTATTGCAATAAGATTTAGGATGCTCCCAAAGACGTAGGTGAAAACCAAACACCTTAGAAAGGACCATAACTTTTCTGTCTACATTTCAGAACTCATTGGAAGTGCCCAAATATTGAAGTGCCACAAAATGATGTCTAGGTAGGCGACTGACTAGATTTTAGATGGCGATTGATGCAAAACTCAAAAATAGGTGGACTATGATAAACTGAAACAAACTTTACTTAAACATTTTTGGCAGCATCCATGTGCCATGATGCAGCTGGAATGCTGGGAGAATGTAAGAATACGACTGGAGCGGGTAGAGGGGGGGGGGTTGTTGAGTGGGGGGGTTGTTGACTCTCACCTTTGATGAAGAGATGTCACATTCCTGACAGATCCATCCATAGCCGGTTTGTTTGGGCGACTTCTTCAGGGGAGGGTCCAGACAGCCGAAGTGGTAACAGAGCCGACACTCATCACACCTATGAGGAAAACAGGCAGCATATTAGCAGTGAGAATACATTAAAATGCAGCTGCAGTGCCGGCGCACTCTCACACACACGCAATCTGCTTATACCCTGCCAGTATGGCCCTAACCAGGCAGGTATGATAGATGGTGACAGAGCCATTTGCTGTCAGGTAACAGATGCTTAATAGATTCAAAACACATTGGCACACAACCTCTCACACGGCCTTGTACAGCCATCATAAAACACACTGCTCGATTGGTCCTGCTGAAATGAGTTTCAGCTCATCCTGCTGATAAATCTCTATAGGATTTTTATTCCATAGTCAAGGTGTCAAGTAAGACACTGAGATTCTGTCCTTAGTTATAGGTCTGCTCAACAATCGTCTCCAGCTATCCGGTTTTAAAAGACCTCCATCTTGCTTCTATTATTACGCTATTCTGCAGCCGTTCAAAGAGCTGTATTGAATATCGCTACTCAACATCCTCAGAAGAATTCAGGGCTATTCCACAATAGTTAAAAAAAAAAAAAAAAAAAATTACATGATACATGAGTACTTTTATTCTGCAAGGACACATTAATTTGATAAAAAAAGTGACAGTACGTATATAAATAACTTTTATAATGTTATAAAAGTTCTATTTCATATGAAGGACGTTCTGTTGAACTTTCTATTCATCAAATAATACTGAAAAAGTCACTATAAAAATATTAAGCAGCACAACTATTTTTTAGCATTGATAAGAAATTTCTTATTTAGAAATAAATGTAAAAATATATATTTTTTTAATATATTCAAACAGAAAACAGTCACTTTAAGTATTAAATAATACTGTTTTTACTGTATTTTTGATCAAATAAATGCAGCATTGTTATAATTTACTATTTCCACAATTTCAAATGTTAAAAATATATATTAGTATTTTATAAAATAACATTAACTATATATAAACTATATCAACTATATACTATTATAAAAGTTTTGTTCACTGTTTGTTCATGTATTTAATTTATGTAGCTAACTAATGTTAACAAATTGAAACTTATTGTAAAATGTTACAAAAAAAAAATCAAAATTCAGGTCAGGGGGCACAAACAAATGCATCTTTTTAATACTTTTTGAATAATTAACTGCAATGAATTAACATGCTGAAATGACAGCTGTCAAAACACAATAACTATATCTACATTCATAAGACTATTGTAAGAAACACACAGTGCATTAAGTTCAGCTCTCATTTAACATTCATAAGGTGTATCTTCTGAGGACCCAGGTGCCCTTCACCCTGCAGTCCATGCTCTCCTCTCCTTCCTGTCCATAATTAACTAATTATGTTGTAATCAATATAGAAGATTCAGATTTGGCAATGTAAATCAGATAAAGCCGATAAGAGCCGGGAAGGTCAATAGGCCCGTCCCCCATCCTCGTCTCCATTACGGGACGGGGGACGCGGCGGTCTTATCAGCGAGCCCGCAGGATGAGGCGATAGTAAAAGACAGGGACAGGCGCCATATTTTTTTCTGCCAGGTGAACGAGTGGGAACATTGAGACTTTTGTGGAGGCAGGGTTATTCTTGGTGTCACCGAATGTGATGCTGTGTGACGTGGAAGCCCTTTTCAAACTCAGGCCCATCACAGACTTCAAATGCTAATTAAAGGACTGGATGGGGATGTGGCTCAGTGCTAATGAGCAGAGAGCCTCATGTCGAAGACACATGTACACCTTCTGTCAACACCAAATGACTATAACACAGCATATAATGGCTAATGCGATCACATTAGTTTTCTGGTCATTAGTACCGCGTATCATTGAGAGAGTGCAAAAAGGTCAAACGCACTCTTGATTTCTGCTTTATTAGGCTCATTTATTACGGAAATATGTTGGCAGAAACACCAAAAACTAGCACATATTGATGTTCAACAGGTTTACATGCCATTAATAGTCTGATTGAAGATCAAAAAGGCAACAATGATGCTTGCTGCTCATATCCACACATCACATTTCACACTGTTTCTGATCAAGCAACCAAATAAACTTCTCAAGTCCAAAGAGAGCAATTCAAGGTGCCTTTGCAAAAGGGAATGAGCCAACTCTCACCTGTGGTTACCATAACAACCCCGACAGAGCTGCTATAGGGCAGCCAAAGACAAACACATTCACAAATTCCCACTGGATCAATACTACTGTAGTCTGGAACCTCCCAAGATGTAAGCGTAACCTATTGGCTTGTTTCACTTACTACAATTCAAGGTAGGATGCGCCGAATATTCGTCAACCGAAATTATTCGGCCGAAAATAGCAAAAAAATATATTTCGGTGTTCGGCCGAATAAGCGAAAAGGACGAATAATATGTACCGAACAATGACTAACGCTCTCAAATAGAGGCACGCACTAATGCAGCAAACATGTCGGCAGTGTGAAAGTATTTAAAACTATCAGAGAAAGACGCAGAAATCATTACAAGCACGAAGCACCGACAGCGAGAGACTGTATAGTGCTGCATCACGTCTCCGACGAGAAGAAGAGGTGGCTAACGGTGTATGATGATTGAAATCGCGAAATTACCTTTAAACGATTAGTAATGTGATACGTGCGACAAACATCTTCCCAAATTTGTAATGAGAATAATTTATAAATCTGCATGCTGTTGTCAACAAAAAGAAGCACTGAGATCTTCCTGCGGGTTTCTGCCAAAATAAAACTCCATCGACATTCATAAATGATAGTATTGTAATTTTCCTGTCGTTCTGTAAAATAAAATAAAAAAGTAAGACAATAATAATGATAATAATAATTACCCTACAACAGCTCTATTAATACATTTATTATAACATTCACACATAGTGTTCAAATTGGGATCTGTAATATATTTTAATGTTTTAAAAGAAGTCTTTGCTCAGCAACGTATTAATTTTAAGTTAGATTGTGCTTTGTTGGTATAATGTCTGCTAGAATGTAAAAAAAAATTCAGTTTGTTCGGCTTCAGCTTCGGCCAAGAATTTTCATTTCGGTGCATCCCTAATTCAAGGTATTTTTTGTGTGATAATAAGAGAAGAGAACAGAGAAGTCTAACTATTTAGAAGTGCAAGGAGCACTTATATAGGTTCACAGATTTTCTAAAGCATTTTTAAATGGGACATTTGGGAATGGGACAAATGGGATTTTTTTTAAAGGACATTTTAACATTAGAATGATTTCTGAAGAATCAAGTGCTGAAAATTGACAGCTTTACAATTACAGGAATAAATGACATTTTAAAATATATTTAAAAAGAAAACAGTTATTTTAAATTACAATATTATTTCACAATATTACTGTTTTCACTACATTTCTGATAAAATAAATGCAGCCTTGGTGAGCATATAATTTCAGCTATTTGATGTAAGTTTTATCTAATTTATGGGGCTTAATCCAGGTTTCTCTTGACAACCATGAGCAAATTAACATACAGCCAACTAAACTTATATACAACTTAGCCTATACTGATAAAAGTGACAATATCAAAATCATATTTAATTAAAATGGTCAGCAAGAAGGTAGAAATGTATAAAAGTTGGAAAAACTATTAGTGGACAGTGGGCACCATGGAAAAAGAAATATAATGCTAAAAACACAAAATACTGCTCTGTTAAATGCCAGCTGCATGGAAATAGTTGTTCATAAAGTGAATCATATTGACAATAAACGTCTTGTTCTGTTACATAAGAAAAAAATGAAACGTGTTAATTTCCCTCAAAAACACACACTTCATCTCTTTATCCAACATGAGACTGTAGCAGCAGTCGATTCAAAAGCTCATTTAAACGATGCATACTGCTTGTGCCTCAGCATGCACCATTTCTTCCTGTTTCTAATCCATATATTTATTGTGACAGAGCAATGAGAAAATGGCTTGCCCTCGGCGACAGACTGTCAACTCGAAGCTGCCTACATTACATGATCCTCCTTCTGAAGAGAGAGAGTGGGTAAAGGGGAAAAAAATCCTGCTATGGAAAGATTCCCAAAATTTTGCTCATATCCCATTATACCTTGCAATAACGGCTGCCTTTCACTCGTTAGTGGAATAGTTAACGAGAACAAATGCCCTTCTGTTTTATTATTTTGTCCATAAAAGAGCTGCTAAATGAGCCAAACAGCTATGAAGCATGAAACTGTATGAAGCATTTGGGTTTTAAGCATTGTATAGCTAATATCTTTTTATCTAATGACCTACAGTATTCTAATCTAGATCAAGTAAAGCATTTGATTTCCTATTAAAGGAATATATCAAGTTCAAAATATGTATTAGTGGCATAGTTTGCCACAAGAAGTAATTTGACTGATCCATCATTTAAAAATAAATAAATAAATAAAGCAAAAATAACTTGAGGAACTTGCAATGATGTAAATGGGAATGATTTACAATGTGAAGCTTAATTAAAAATAATATAAATTATTTTAAATATATTTTTAACTATAAAATACATGTAAAACTATACACACACATAACTACTGGAAAGTTATTTAAATTGCTGTTTTTGCAACATTACAGAGCGCAGCATTTACACTGAATATATATATATATATATATATATATATATATATACAGTATCTCACAGAAGTGAGTAC